TTCGTCTTGTGCATAGTCATAATGTGTGCCATTTATCCCAGGGTGTGTCTAATCCTGTCCCAATTCTGCACGCTGCTCCAACACACCTGATTTAAATGAATGGGTGATTAACACACTGCTGCAGAATTTAAAGAGGTAATCCAATCACTGAACCAGGTGTGTTGGAGCAGGGAAAGGAGTAAGAATGTAAGGATAGTGACCCTCAAGGACCAGGAGTGAACACCCCTGACTAATACAAGAATGTCTACAAAAATAATATAATAATGTTTGCACCCTCTCCCTCATATTAAAGTTTGTCCAGAACCGCACCACGTACTTGAAACATAAACGTAAAATAACACAACTCATTAAGAGTAATATAAATTATAAGAACTATAGTTTGTCACATGCCTCCCAAAAGCAAAAGTACAATAATAATGATGATGATGAGGACGGTAATTCATTTTATTTGTTAGCACCTTTCAAGACACTCAACGACACTTTACAACATTAAAAATACAAKCTTCAGCAATACAAAATTACAATAAAAACACCATAATAAACTAAAAATTAGAAGAAAGTAAATCAAGAAGGCAAATTTGAACAGATGAATTGTAATTTGAAGTTTGGGAAAGAGTCAATATTGTGGATGTCTGGAGGAAGAGTGTTCCAGAGATGGGGAGCGGAGTGAGAAAAGACTGTTTCCTRTGGTACTGTGAGGTGAAGAACAGGGGGAATGTGAATGGGCCGTGACGTGCAGGAGATCAGACAGATAAGAAGGGGTGAGGTTGTGGATGGCCTTGAATGTATACAGGAGGATTTTAAATTGTCAATGTTTTTTATCTGTGTGTTTGCGCTTTTTTCTCTTACCTTGGCAAAATATCTCGCAAAATATTGGACATACCTTTATTGAAACGCTCAGACAGCAATCTTTGTACTTCAACTAGATAAATAACTATTAATTATTAACAAATGGGGAATAAAAATAACTGATTACCTTCTTGAGTTGATATGATTAACAGAATTTAGAAAAAAAGGCTATAAACATCTATACGAGTTAAAACTGGAGACAGGATAAGGTGTTACCAACTCCTCAGTCACAAAAGTAACTATTGGCTGTCCTAAAACAGAAAACGTTGCTCAATTTGTTGCTAGTTGCTCTTAAAAACTAGTCGCTCAAGGGTAGAGGTGGTTGATAAAACAAAAACGATCTAGATCACGATAGATATGTGATCATTATCAATAGAAAATACATCTGATAGTTAGGGGTGTAAGAAAATATCGATACACTGAAATATTGCGATATTTCATTTCCCGATACTGTATC